GTAAATATATAAAAAGATGGGACTTAACAACAGCTACCAATAAAAAGCCACCAACACACCAAACCCCTGCTCTTATCTAACATTTCAGCTGACATTCACACCAGGCAAAGCAAGCACTGAACAAGCATGGATCCTCATGAGGGAACTGACTTTACTCTCATTCCAGATTAAAGCATATTAGTGGTCTCCCATAGCACTAAGCTAGAACTGCCTTCCTGTTTCCTCTTCTCCCAAACAATTTTGTTCTAAGAGTACATTAAACTGGAATAAGTTAACATTTCAAACAGAGAAGACCCTGCTGTTGAAATAATATTAGAGATTTTAAAACAATTTTCTCTCCTGCCAGCTGTGTTATCTGCACAGTATCTCTCTGATCTTGCCATGTAGATTAGTAACTTCTTGGTCTACGAACTCTGCAAGTCCCTCCTGGGTTCCTGCAGTGGTTGTAAGGCTGGGCTCTGCATCTGCTCCCAATGCGGGGCAGTACCTAAACACTTCAATCGCTATCTGGATCCAATCCCACAAGCTGAAACACAGAGCTCCTCATAAAGCACAGCAATCTGCCACTTTCATTCAAAGTGCGTCTGGAGAAAAAAAGAGAACAAAAATAAGGCAGAACAATGTCTTCACAGACAGAGCAGCCACTGTTGAGGAGGATTCGCCTCCCTCCTGAGCCTACGGCAATTCACAAGCTCACCTTCCCTCTCGCAGTCCAGTGCCCTAATCACCACTTGTTGCATGTTAGGTAGTCTATATCTACTGAAGTTGACTAAAATTCTATTTAAAGGCTAATTACTGTGAAGTTTACAGGTTTTTTTAAAAACATTCTTAACTGAATTTTCAGTTCAATTAAAAAACTTAATTCAAACTGGGATTAAAAGGAAAAGTGCATTTCTTAATCAAAACTCTCAATTAGAATAAACCCATCATTTATAATCATTTCTGAAAAATAATTGCAATCTGAAAAATCACATTGCCTAATACTTTTTATTTTGAAGCTCTGCTTATTAGTCTTTTAAGTGAAGAGGTAACAGTCGCTGCACAATCCTTTCTAATCAAATTGTGTGATGTACATTTTGCTAACAAAATTTCAGCTTTCCTTATCCAGCGTAAATAGCATTTCCCCACCCCAGGTGGAGATGTGCACTGATCCACATCCTCAGTGAGGTTATCATCCAAACCCAGCACCAGTTGCTTGTCCTTGCCATCCCACCCGATCTGCTGCACAGCTTGCACAACAGCTCCTTAGCTCATTTCAGTCAAGGTCAGCTGCACTAAATTGAAGAACTTAAACTTGAGGGATGGTTTTACGAAACGGATTGAGCCAACCTAAAAGCTCAACGTAACTAGTCATACTTCTCTCCTTCTAGTCTGGCTGCGTGCTCCTGTTGCTCATCATCCTCTTCCACAAATGTAACTCACAACAACAGCAGAAGACTGCCTATTACCCTATAGCAAGAAAGAAGGGTTTGTTTCCCATCATCTAACAAACTGAGAAGGCTCATAGATGGCTCCAACAACTGCAAGAGTTGGCAGAGAGAAGAGGATGCATCACACAGGCAGGAGGAGAGAAGAAAGGGAGGCAAGACCCGCCTCTTTGAGCAACAGTGACCCATTACTGGCTCAGGTGATGATAAGCTTTGGCTGACACGTGTTAAGGCGCAATCACACAATTAGCTGTCAGATCTGAAGAGCTGGTACCAAGACACCAAGAGCAGCACCTCCTGAGCCAGCACAGCAACAGCTGGACAAGGACAAACAATCAAGACCTTCCTTCGGGTGTGGCGTAGTGGTGATTGCAGCCAAACCACCCTAACTGCTTGCTGCCTCTGAAATGGGAAATCCCACCCTCCCTTCAGTCCTCTGCCACACGCTCCTCCCTGCTGACAAAAGCACTTGTGTGACTTCTCAGACAGAGGATTAGATTGAGAACTAGTCTTTTGTTTTCCAGGGTTTGATTTCAACCAGACAGATTTCCAGACTCAGCTGACTGCAGGAACATTATTGCCAGCACAAGGTGGAAAGGGACTGCAGTGAAGCAAATTAACCTGCACTAAAATGTCCGGTTAAACTTTCTTTTGCAAAATTAGTTTTCTGCAGATCTACTTCTTTCAACTAATATACCATAAACCGGATGAATGCTAGTACCCAGGGCAATTTAGAGCAGGAATGTTTATGCAGGACCACAGCAACAGAAACTCAGATCAACTTAAAATGATGCTGGAACCACATCTTTACACTGCAAGAGACAAGCAATGTCCATCAAAATGGTTTTTAAAAAAAAGGTTTTCACTAACTTGGCTGTACCAAGTCAAAGCATTGCAACTGTTTAAAAAATAATATCTTTCCTAGCTTGAAACTACTGTCTCCATACAAAACAATGCTCTTCTCTCTCAAGTTAAGGGTTGTTTTTATGTTCTAAAAATACATGAAACAGCCCAAATGCCCTGTTATGAATACAACGTGCTGATGATTCAAGTTTTTAACACTTACTCCAAAAGCCCAAATTTGGAATAGCACTTCAGAACAGTTTCTTCTGCTGTTCTTCCAAACCCTTCATTTAACAGACAGATGATCAAAACACTTGTAAGACTACATTGTATCAGTGAAGTGCTTGAAAACTTGACTGGCAGATACAGTACACAGTCCATGTTCTTTTAATTACAGCAGCAGCATACGTTAGTAAGGTCCAAGTATGAAAAAAATCCTATGTCCTCTGCATGCTACGAGGAAATGATGCATCTGTTAAAGCCACGCAGTAATGCCACAAACTGATGACAATCTTAGTCTTGCCAGCACAGGTAGCTATAAGCTCATTTGAAAGGCATTAGTTCTCAGCATCTCGCAGTCTAGCAACTTGAAACTTTTTCCACAAGCCAAGAATTTTATTATTTAGATAAATAATATACAGCATATGGACTATTGTGAGACTATTCACAATGGAAAAGGATTTAATGTGTTGCATAGACTTAAGTAGAAGGTTGATAAAAGTGTTATTTTTAAACTAAAATGTCCCTGTGTGAGGAGGTAATTGTAGTGTTTTTCTGCTAAGCATGTCAAGTAGCAAGGAGGAATATATTTTTGGTGTTGTAAATCCTTTAAAAGCTGGCAGATTGCCCTACCATGGTGCCTAAGCATGTATCACAAGGGAGGAGCGGTAGTCAGCTGACTTCAGGGCAGGGAGAAAACCAAATTGAGGAAAAAACAAGGCAGAACTTTAAGCACAACTGTAATTCAGGTGGTTTAAATAAAACAATTTGCCTATAAAGATTTAAAGGGTCATGCTGAATATTTCATGTTTTCTCTGCATAGTTTTCATCTCTGGTCTGTCACTATTTTGATCTGTGTATCTTAACGCATGCAAAAATGTTAACATTGTCTGATTTTTTTAAACTTAAATATTCAGAAGTTAGAAAACAAGAGTTTTACGGTAGTTCATGCAATTTAAAATTCTTTCCCCTTCTTCATCAAACTTGTGAAAGGCAAAGACCTTAAGGGTAGGGAGTGAAGCATGATAATGTAATTATGGTCTTATATAACTATCGTATCATTGTAAAACTTTGCAATACAAATGACATTCTTTTAAACATCACTTTCTGCATTTAATTCAGTTCATGCGTTCAGTGGATTTAAAGTCACTGAATCATTTTGATTTACCCACTGTTAAAAGTATTAAACCCATAAATTGTATCTAATTAAATGATATCTTCTCAATCAAATAATCTTATTCCAATTTCCAATTATTAGTTTCTGTTTATGCCTTTTTGTGCTATATTTGGTACTTGATTTTTTTTTTCTCTCCTTTTCCAGCTTTTTTTGCTGTTTTCATGTTTCCTCTAAATCCTTTCAACAAATGTGCTCAGCTCTTAAGGACCCCAGTATGAAGGATGTTCTCCAGGTTTTGAATAATTTTCATGGATCTTTTCTGCAGTCCCCAATTTTTAAAGTGCCAAATAACCATCAATATGCAAACAACACAATCTACCTTTCCTCTTAACAGTTGACTTTGACAGTTTTTTTTTTTTAAACCACACCATCATACTAAGACAGGAACTTGTGAAGATGTTTTTGCCTCGTATGACCCCACAGGCTTTCCAGAAACAGTTTCCAAGATACAGTAACCCCAGAATAGGTATTTAATTATTCATTTTTCTCTCCAAATAGGATGGGCTAAGCAAGAATTCTTTACTGTGAACCATTTGCTCTGTCCCAGCAATTGTAATTTACTACTTGGATTTTTGCCATATACAAACATTATCAGACAGGATTTATATATTTATTTTCTCATCATTGACAAAAATACAGGGTACACTATAGTAGTTCCGATTCCTACAGAATTTCTGTAGGAAGATACTAGTCAGTAATAAATCTTGTTATCGAAAACTACTTTTGAGTTCTACTTTTTCTTAATCCACTCAATAAATACTTCTGTATCGAATTCTCAATACTGTGGCATTTTGCCGAACATTTACAAGCATCTTTTATGCAACAACAGCATATCCAGTTATGCAAATATGCAATGGTTTCTGTAATTCTGATCGATGAAGGCAACAGCCCCCTAAAGTTAAATCAAAGGGTTAAACACCATTTTGCATAGAAATAAATCAGCTAGTATTAACTACTGTACTTTGAGACATACAAACCTCCCCTTTTTCAAAAGTACTTGCAAAAGAGCGTTCTTCAATACCCATCCTTCTCGGAAAGCTTGTACAAAGCTAGAAAACTGCAGGTGGAAGTTGGCATTCCAGGGGGCGAGAGAGGCCATGATGGAAGATCAGGCTCTGGGGTAAACTTCCCTTGCATTCATCACGCTTTCAGCAGCAATACTAGTTATATTGTACTCAATACCTTGTCTTTAACCTCACAGGTTATATATTTGAAAAATAAAAATTGAAGAACTGAAATCTACCGTATCAACTGAATTTTGAATCACTTTTTCTTTTATTTTGTCCGAGTTTGCAATTTGAATTGCCAACGTACAGTTACCTGAGTCTTTCTGTTTCTTAAATTTTGGCAAAGTAACATTTTTTCCCCATCTTTTTAGAAATACCCAGTATTTCAACACTTGTTAAAAAGGAGCATCAGTATACAAAAGATCTTCCAAGGAAAATCTAAAAATTCCTGAATTACACTATTTGGGCCCGATTTAAAATATTTATTGCTAACAAGAGAAGTTGAATTATTTTTCATTCCTTAAGTAAATAAGGAATGTGTTCATAGCATTGTTGTAGGGAGGAGGAGGGAACTGCATTGTCAGCAATAGTTTGACGGTCTCCATTTAGCAAACCCTATTATTAGAACATTTTATTTCTACTATATTAAAAGCTGTATTATTCTGAACTCTGATAATTACAGATACAAAGATATGAAGACCAAAAAGGACTTCCTATATTAATTTCTGTGCCCAACTCCATTGCGTGAAACTACTTAGCTATCTTTCAGATCACTATATACTGCTGGTATTGTTTGTATGATGACACTGATGTAAGTCCTGGAGAATGTTTACTCATTTAATTCTGGCATGCTGACAACAGCAAAAGTAGCAGAAGTGTGACCATACACACCTCCAGTGAATCTTCAGAAATTTTGAAGGAGAAGGATAAAAAACTTCTTTAGCTCCAAAATCTTCTCCCTTACAGGTCTTTGAGATTCATTGCAAGCAACAGAGGAGAACGTTTCCCAAAAGCAGCAGCACAAATTGTTATGTCAAAGAAAAGATACAACAACTAAATATAGAGAACTTCTCGCTATTACTGAACAAATTAGTAAGAAGGCAATAGTACAGATCTAATTTTTTAAAAACGTATTATTTATAAAAGCAACAAATATTTCACTAGAGACTATTCATACCTTAAGAGATCAGATAACGTCATTGGTTCTCTCAACCAGAGTAATGCCATGTAGCAAAATGAAAGGGTCATTGGCATCGTCATCCTCAGTTTCTCCTTTTGGTTCTTCATTAAATACAAGCTACCATCTACCGATCCAGAGCACACAGAGGTGCTTTCTTGGGTTTATGTTAAAAACAGAAAAGAAAAAAAAAGTAATTTATATGATATACACACAATTCATGGTATACAGAAAACAAGATAAAGGAACATACAAGGACCCTTGTTCAGCAACCAGTAATATTTTGAAATCATTACTTTGAGTAGTTTGGTAGTTTGTGTACTTTTCTACTAAACAGCTTAACTAATTTATTCATCTACCACGATATGAGATGACAACTTGTTTCATAAACTGCTGCTTCACTTGACTGAGACGCTGGATCATATGAAGAGACAAAACTCACTCTGGTACCCATCAAAACAGACCTTTTGTTGGGAACTACACTTAAACCTGGAGTTCTAGAAAGACACTAACTCCTACATAACATATAAGTAACAGTACTTACGAGCTGGAAATACTATTTCCCATTTGAGAGATAAGGGAACAGTGGGGAAACAAGGAAAAATTCGATGTGCTTAAATCAGTTCCTCAGAGTTGGGGATTAAAACACAGAGTTTTAAACTTCAGCACAGTCAGGACATTAACAAGAACATAATTTACATTGCAGAAATTTTACGGAGGTTAAGGTAGGTATCCATCTGCCATATAATCTCTAACTGTGGAAAAGTAAGTATTCTTTTAAAAAACATATCTACAGTCAGTGAAAAAGAAAACACTTTCAAAACAAAAATATAGCAAATGGTAAAGAAGGTGGGGGGCAAAAAACCAACCAATAACATACAACCAAACCTCTTTATTTCCTTACTGAGATGAATCACTGAAAACTAAGAGAAGCAGCAATGAGAAATTTAATTTAGGGGAGTGATTTATGAGTTAGGAACCTTTTCAGCAGTGAAACCTGGGAGTTCAGGTAAGGAGGAAGAGAAAAAGAAAAGGCCCTTTTTTTTTGATCCTGCTAGGACAAATGAAAATGTTTTGTATTTAAAGCACACCAGCACAAAATGTCAAGCATTGATTCTATAGAGATGTTTTCACTGTGCTTCCCTACAGACTGTTCACCTGTTCAGACAGGAACAGCAAGGGCTGGATCCACAGCTCCCCAGCTGGGAGCTGCAGGGCCATGGCAAGCAGCCTGCAAAAAACAGTTTAAAACTTCAGAAAGCTTGGCAGCTCCATGGTTATGCTGGCAGGTGATAGCCAAGCCTGTAAAGTGACAGCCGTCAGCGGTAGAGCTCCAGCGCCCACTGACACGCAATATGAAGACAGACACTACAAACAGCGTGTTCCTGAGCCAGAACTGGTCTTTGATGCCACCTACCGGCTCCTAAAACGGCGGCCAGTAGCACTAGGGACACAGCAACAGGTTAAAAGAACCAGCTCAAACATACACCTCGTACAGACCAAGTCGAGGTCTAGATGACAGTATCCTACGAGGTCTATCAGTATAGGTGCGTTGGAGAACAAAAGCAGGAACATCAGTTAATCTTTTTAGTCAACAGTTTCACCTTTTACATGGATACTGCTTAAAGGCAGCTTCATGACTGAAGCTTCATTATTAATTTCACATTCAACTCAATTTAAAGTAATCCTCATCATATTTGTGGCCTTAATGATGGTGCACAATTTCCTTTTATTTCTTCCAGCTTATGCAAGGCATGACAACACAACAGTTACACGCATATAATAATTTAAAAGTTTAATAGGCTTCTCTAGCAATATCTCGGTGGAATTTGCTATTATCCCTACACAAAAATAACCAAAAAAAAAAAAAAAATGCTTGCACATTGGACAAGCCTCTTAGGAAAAAAAGGGTGTTGAGGTTTCCAGTCTGTAGCAATAACAGCTCAGTAAAAACAGCACAGAAAAGGAAACATGAATCTTCACAACAATTTATAATCAACTAGAACACATCTAGTATTACTTGTCTTAAATTTCAATATACAAAACAATTCCTATGTCTGTTTGGTTTCACCAAAATGTACTTCTAAGTGTCGCTGAACTCTTAATTCATTTCAAGTGCTTTTAGTGAAATCAGTAGGACTACTTAAAGCTGAATTCAATTTCTGAAACAACAGACCAAGAACATGTTAAATTATGGCCTATCTTAAGGCTATCTAGCTGTTCTAAAAACTCTAAGAAACATAACTATAAAAGGCACAAATACCAAGGAAGAAAGGAGTTCCTCCAGACATCAAAAAGGGGAAGAAAATTCCATGGAATATTTTCACTAGAATTTTTCACTCAATTCTTTTATTTTCATATAATATATATTTGTGTAACACCGAAGATCTGCTACATGTACAAACATACAGTGACTTTTACCTGAAAATTTTGCCATTTTAATATATAAGGATGAAAAGCACTCACATTATATTCACAAAAATTTGTGTCACCATTTTTGCACCTTTTTCCCTTCTCTAATTCTGTCTGGATTTTAAAAAATTTCTTAATTTTTTTAATTGCTGCAGATCAAGTTTCTCATTCTATTACTATTTCTGGACTTTACGAAACAAAGAGAAAAACATGAAAGAACAAGATTGCATTCTTCTGAGGGCAGACAAGCAATATCATAGAAGAACAGAAATGGGACATAAAGAAGACAGTATATAACAGGGGAAAGAGAAACACTGAAACAGACAAAGAAGGAAAAGGCAAGCAAAGAATAAAGCAAAAAAGAAAAACCATCATAAGTTTAAAACGCAAGCAAAGGCTTTGAAATGTGCCTTGAAATATCAGACGTTGCAGCATTGTCCGGCATTACACTTGCCCAGTAGCACCAAACACTCCAATTTTTTTGTAAAAAGTAAAATGTTTAGCATTCTGTAATTATTTTCAAGTTGATATTGTGAACAGAAAGGAGAAACTGATGGAATGCTAAAAGAAGATTTTTGATAGAAGGGGTTATAGGGAAAGTAGTGAAAAGAATGCAGAGAGAAAAGATACTGTAAGACCAAAAATACTGTAAGGAAAAAAATTACAAAGCTAAATATATCTATGGGATAGAAAAAAAAAAATAACCTTCCCCCCAAAAGAACAAACTCATGTTTTTTAACATCAAAGTTACCACCGACAGCTCTGCTATTAGCTAAACAAGTGCTTATTCTTTAAAGCTGCTGTGTTTGTGAACATCCAGCTTCGCAGATATAATAGCAATTTTTCCCCACTCCAAACAGGAGGCATGGAGCAAACTTGTTATAGAATAGAGCTTCCTCCTGTATTTCCCATTGTATTTCCAGGTCCTGTTCAACTTTCATCTCTTTGGGTGGGGTTTGGGGAGGAAAGTCTTCTATTTCTCGTAGAATATAAAGTACTCTAGTGGCAAACAGGACTGAAAACTTTACACTTTCCAACCAGTTCCTCCAATTCATTGCACATGAATACACTTCATATATATTCATTTATTTACATCAAAAAAACTATACAAAAATGGTTTCCAGACAGTTCAGTTCATTGCTCCTACCTGAGACCTTGCTCGTTGATGAGGCAAAGCTGCAATCAGTTTGTAGATCCCCCTCACTTTCAGAGACAGATAACAAGTGAAGAAGGCTAGGTCTCTCTGGTTCACTGTCCACATCAGTACTGCTATCACATACCTGTGTTTTGTAAATAAGTCATTGTATTATCTACTGTTAGTTACTGTCTCAATCTGAAGAAACCAAATAATGCATGATAGATGCAAGATCAACAGTAAATGAAGTTTAAACCAAAACTGTTCACATTTTTACTTTCTCTATGAATCACCAGTACGTAAAGAAACCCTGCAAAAAAAGTATTTTAAAAGGATTTCTCAAGATAAAAAGATTTCTAGTAATTACATTACATTTCAATCCACTACAATGACCAGAAAGTTGGCAATACATAGAATCAAAGCTTGATGAAATAAGTAACTTCAAGAGAGCAGGCAGGAAAGGATGGTAGCTGATGATGCATTTTGTATTGTAATTTCTGCTCTACCTACTGACTATCTATGCCAAGACAAAGCAGTATTTTTAAACAAGCAGTTTTCCATACTCGGAGAATTATTTGTCTCTTGAAATGGGGAAAAAAAACAAAGCAACAAAATGGACATGTGGAACCCTGTTTAGAAGGCATCCTTCATACTGAAGTGACATTAACACAAGCTAGATATGTGGCTTGAATGAAGAAGGCTTCTGTTGTTGCTTTTTAAAAAGGTACCCAACATCTCATGGGATTTGAGCTTTTCACCTACTGATAATGCTTTGACAGTTTTCCCAGCTGGCCTGTTGCAATATGCCTGTTTGCTCTTCTGAAGATAACGCCTCCAAAAATTGCAAAGAATTTCATCCTGATAAATACAAATGGACAGTGATTAGCGCAAAGTTTACAAGATCATTAATTGCTGAGAGAACAGACTGCAATTTCTAACTCAGGAATCTGAATAATGTTCCAGCTCTAATTTTATTAACCGTGATTTATAAACTATGTTTTAAAATTACCAAAGAAACTAAGTTTGTTTTTATATGCTCAATGTTTTTAAACAGGGAGTTGTTCAATTCACTAAAAATTACAGTCTTTTTACATAACACCCCCATTACACACTCAGCATGTAGAACTCATACTGACATCTACATACCTTCATTTGTGGACATACTCCTAATGCTTCCAAAGCTTCAGCTTGTTTCTTGAGCACGAGCTGAAAGCCTTCACAAACATACCATTCACAGCCTCCATCTAAGTAAAAAAAAAAAAGTATGTTTTTTGTGTTGGTACTGTTTTGGGGTTTTTTTTAACCTTATGCACACTTATTTCCACTTAATGTTCTGTTCTCTTGGTATCTATCAGGACTGAGAGATGTCTCTCTATTAAATAATTTCAGATCCTAGAGCATAGACCAGCTACACTGAATACTCCATTAACTTCCATTTATTCACAGCCTTAATCAAGAAGAAAAGCTACTGAACAAGCACTGTTCTCCACACATTTCCCAAGAGTAACATATTTCACTATAATTTCTAGTGTGGCAATCCAGTGGAGAGTTAAGTGACCGGTTTTAAAATAACTGAGAACCTGTCATTAAAAAATGAAATACGATCATTTCTTTCTCATCCCCGGCACAGAAAACTGGAACACATTACGGTGGTGAGTCAGGCAAAAAACAACCAATATCACCATGTTCTTTACCATTCTCTCCCACAGAATCATACAAATTTAAATGAAACTTTCTCAGATATTCAGAGCTTCTAGCAAATCCCAGCACAACATGAATTTCATAAGGAATGGGCCTTCTCCAATCTATTCATTATTCCCTCAGACTGTGTTACATTTACTTTTCGCCCTTACCTCTCTATATTTACAACTCCTTTTCTACAGGCTTTTGGTCTTCGAAATTTTCCCTGCATTTCTCAATTTCCTTTTCACTCCCTCCACACCTGTTCTTCATTATTTTTCTTTCCAATCACACCTCGCATCTCACCATCTTAGAAGTTATCTGCCCAAAGCTTCTGCCCTGCTTTAATGATGTTGGCTTTAACTGTTAACCACAGATACAGCTTACTCCTATAAATGCATGAAAATAAGCTGCCATAGTATAATGTAACTACGCTCACAGAAAGGACTGTGTGAAGCTAAGGATTTCTTTCTTAAGAAGCCTGGGGGATGGCTAATGACCTTCCTAACAGGAGAAATGAAAAGCATGAAGTGGTACACAGCTGAGACTTTAGGAGCAATACAGGATAAAGACAAGCGGAGGTGTTAAGGTTTTTCCCCTTTTCACTCCTCCCTTCACTTCCCCACAACTGTTTTTTTTCAAAGGAATGTAGTAATCCACTGCCACCGCACTAGAGCGAAGATAGGTCAGCGTACCAGAGACAAAGATAACCCCATTGCTTCATTTAGCATTGTAATGCATTTTTGCCTTTTGAAAGTGACCACAACAGTAAAACATCTATCCAGCCATCACAGTACATATACATAGCTCCAGCAGCAGCCTTACCATAACATCCTTACAGCATATATCATCATATATAATGACTACTATTCTTTTGAATCATGAAATTAAAAGTACAGAAGTGACTCTGGATGAAAGATGTAATATTGGTTTAGCTATTGTAACTGCATGAAATCTCTTCCACGTAGGTTTGTGTGTAGGTTACAGTGCCAAGTACCTGTAATGCAAGCCAGACTGACATTCTAAGAGCTGGGTCACCATCACATCTCACTTACGAAGACAGACAACTTTTCTGGTTTTGTGATAGCCATCACAAGGAAGGAACAAAGGGATCACCATATCTGAATGCATGCCACCAGTATCTTCAGTGAGTATTGGCTTCCACAAATCAAAGTGGCAGTAAGTAACACATAGTTCTGTTCAATGCAAAAAAACCACCACCAGGCTCACAGAGGTCACCTGTGGCTCAAGAAGTCACCAAAGGTGACCACCTAAGCATTTGAGGGGTGTATTTTGTTCCTGTTCTTACAGCCTTTCCTAGCTACCTGCTTTTGGCCACTGTCAAAGACATAATGGGCTAGGTGAACCATGGCTGAACAGCCATTCTTATGCAAAACACAGAGGGAAACTCATACATACCAGTTTTTTCCTGCTTTCTTAAACCTTTGGAGATTGTCTGGATTCTTGTATTAGAAATAAAATCAGTGTTTACAACTTCTCTAGTTCTCTGCAAAACAGGAATATATCTTAGCAAGAAAAAAAGCCAGGCCTAACTTACATAGATTGTCCCATCATAAAACATAATGGAGGAACTTGTTCAAATTTCCTAAACTAAAGGGAGACGGAACATTCTGAACTTTTCATTCAGAAATTGCAAAAATAGAAGATTACTATCTTGGATGTACAGGTGATGTGCATCAGGGTTTGCCTACATTGGTACTGTACTGAAGTGCAGCAGTACCCAGGCAATACCTGTAAGGCATCTAGACAGCATGCAGGCACTACAGCTACAGCAACACAGCATCTTAAAATGGCTCATTTTAAATTTTGTGATTTCAAGGAACATCAGTATTAAACAGTCTCAAGTAAAGCATGAAACAGGAAGAATCACAATACTGCCTTCAACTCCTAATGCCAAGGAGGAAATCTAACATTTTCTTAATATAAAACCAAGAAACAATCAAAATAAACCTTTTCCAAGGCCAGTAGCTTAGCTTTTTACCTCGGTAACGTTGTGGCAAGATCTGCAATAAAATCTGCCTCCATCAGTGAGACCCCAGTTCACTTCTGAACATTGGGCACAGCGTTCATTAAAATCCCTCTAAAAGGAAAAAAACACAACAGTGTTTCACATGTGTTCAAGTAAAACAAATGGCACTACCGCTAGGCTACTGGACAGCTTTTGAGATTATTCATAGAGGAGAATATTTTTTTATGCCCTTTATGTTAGCTGTGCCTGATAACAAGTAATCATAGCATTTGCTATCAGTCATAGACAACTATGAACAAATTGCATATGTGAACATTAGTACATGGGGAATAATAATCCACACCTAGCACACATGACATGGCTTGAAAAAAACCACCCATCAGAAATGGAAGCAGAGACAAAAAGTAGAGAGTGGCAGATGAAAGTAAAAATAAATTTCTAGAACTGCAAAGAAACATATGCAGTGGAAGAAAGCCTGCACAAGCCGGTGAACAGACGTGCCGGGAGAAAGGGAGACTTCCCGGAGAAACCGGAGGAGGAAGGACAAAAGAAGGAAAACAACAGACTTTTAAAAAGTGTTTTTCAGAAGCACCCCACACGAGCGTGCTGGGGACGGGTAGCTCCCTTCGGCCGGGGGAGACGGCTGGGGCACACCCACGGCCCCTCACCGGCCCCCGGCCGGGACAAAGCACCC